AAAAAAAAAAAAAAAAAAAGGAAAAACAACTGGCTTCAGTGAAGGTCATTCTTCTGTAAAAATAAACCAAATAACCTAAATAAATACAGTTTTTCCCCCGGATTTCTAGGATGCTCTTACATATTCTAAGGGTTTGGTCATGTGTTCTTTCTTTGCCCTGAGGGGGTTCAAGCCTCCCTCCTTGCCATACAAAGTCCTCTTCTCAGGAAGTTGTCTTCACGTGCTCCCCCCAACCGCCCCGTGAGCTGAGTAGCTGTTTGCTGAAGGCCTCTTGCTGTGGCATTGGGAGTTTAGAGGTTAAAGCTGTAGTCCTTGAGTCTGATGAGCTTGTGATAAACTGGGGAATACAAGGAAACCCACTAGCGTGGGCAGCACTTCCATATAGGAAATGCTGTCCAAAAGGGAGAGTGTAAGCCACACCTTGGAAGATTACCCCCTCAGAGGGCGCTTCTTGGGAGAAGAGGCCAGGGCCTGAGCTTGTGAGGCTAGCTAGAGAATGTGGCTGGGCCCTGGTCAGGCAGGTGGGAGGGCTGTGGTGTTCCCATCACCTGCAGGTAGGGTGCAGTGAGTCCACAGCAGGGTTCCCAGCCCTGTGCTGGGCACAGGGTGCCACTACCTGGGCCCCAGACCAGGCCAGTTCACCAGGAGGGGTGCTTATGGCTTTGAATTAGGGCTATGGAAGGGAGGAATCTGGGTGTGTGGTCTGGGCAGGAGAGTAGGTGGTGGTACCAGAGATTGGAAGAAAGTGGAGGGAGGCTGAGTGTCAGGTGGCCAGGTCTTTCTGGGGACTGGTCCAGGAGAGAGATGGCCGCTCCCCAAATACCTGTTCATGAGAGAGCTTTCATTGGTCTGTAGTGAAATGTGGAAACGAGGAAAAATAAGAATGTCAGAAGTGATGAGCCTGTCATAAAGCAAAATTATTCTGTTGAGTTTGTAGGTAGAAGGGCCTTTGGTTTTGGGTTCTGTTCATGATTTTTAGTGATCAGAGCATATTTATATTATTTCTGCTTCATGGAACTACCTGTTTTCTCTGTGGCCTAATGTATAGTCAGTGTTGGTGAGTGTTCTGTGCACTGTACAGATGGGGACTTCTCAGCGCTCGGGTCTCTGTTGTTGCTGGGATGTTTCTGTTTCTGTTGGTGTGTGCTTGCTTCCTTTGTCTCGTGGGTGCCGACTGTGATGTGTTAAGCCCACGATTACTGGTATGTTTCTGGCTCCATGTGCCTCGTGTAGTTCTGCTTCACGCAGATGGCTGCAGTTAGATATTTGTAACTGCCACGGCTTCATAGAGAACCGTTGCTCTTAGCATTACAAAGTGTCACATTGATGCCTTTGGCTGAATTCTGCTATGTGCAGTATCAGAACTGCAGCCTCCTTTATGAAGGGTACGCCCGCCCATCACTGTCTGAATGCTTTGTTTTAGGCACTACTGAGGTTTGGCCTTATTTTTGCAAGCCTGATTGAACATCTTCATTGTTGAAGTTAAAGCCATGTATGGAGGCTGAGGTAGGAGGATTGCTGGAGCCCAAGAGATGGAGGTGGCAGGATCTGTGGTTACACCACTGCACTCCAGCCTGGGCGACAGAGCGGGCCTATCTCTTTAAAAAAGCCAAATTAAGACCCTTCATGTTGGCTCAGCTCAAACGGCTAAGGCGCCAGCCACATACACCTAAGGTGGCGGTTTCGAATCCCCAGCCCGGACCCGCCAAACAACAATGACGGCTGCAACCAAAAAATAGCCAGG